TGTGGATGATCATACCCTCCGCCTGTGAGAGGAGATCTCTCCTGACGGGAATCTCCCACAGAGCACCGTCGAGGAGAGAAATCAGGTCCGAGAACCATACTCGGCCCGGCCAGAACGGGGCTACCCGTCCCGGCGTACTCTCTCCAGAACTCCTGGGAGCAGAGCAATCGGGGGAAAGGCATACAGACGAAGCCTCTGCCAAGTCTGTACCATGGCATCCAGCCGCAGTGGAGCTGGATGAGTCAGAGAGAACCAGAGGGGACAGTGCGATGTCGTCTGAGTCGCAAACAAGTCCACCGAAAGGAGTTTGCCCTGAGACCACACAAGGATCTGGTGCGCCTGCTTGTACAAGGGGCGCGAACGCAGACCTCCCTGGTGGTTGATGTAAGAGACCACCGCTGTGTTGTCGGTACACACCAACACGTGACGATCTCTTAGGTCCGGGAGGAAGTGTTTTAGAGCTCGAAACACGGCCAGCAACTCCAGGCAGTTGATGTGCCACGTGAGATGGTGACCACTCCACAGACCGTGGGCAGGGAGGCCACTCATGACTGCACCCCAACCGGTGAGGGACGCATCCGTCGCTAGCGTTACGCGGTGACAAGGAGCTCCCCCCAATTCTTTCATGTGAGCAAGAACGACATCTCGATGTCAAACTGCCACCTGCTCCGATTGAGCCAAAATCAACCAATCGTCGATGTAATTCAGTATGCGAATGCCCTGGAGTCACAAGGGAGCCAGAGCAGCATCCACACACTTCGTGAAAGTACGTGGTGAGAGTGCAAGGCCGAAAGGAAGAACCCGATATTGGTAAGCTTCGCCCCTTGAAGCAAACCTTAGGAACTTCCTGTGATGAGGAAGGATGGAGACATGAAAGTATGCGTCTTTTAGATCTATTGTAACAAACCAGTCCTCGGACCTGATCTGAGACACAACTTGCTTGATGGTGAGCATTCTGAACTTCAGTCTCATGACTGAGCGATTCAACTGACGTAGATCTAAAGTGGGACGCAGCCCCCCATCCTTCTTTGGAACAATGAAGTACCGGCTGTAGAACCCGGACTCCCTGTCATGAGGAGGGACCACCTCGATGGCCTCCTTCCTCAAGATTGTGTTCACTTCCTGTTCTAATACCAGAGCCTGCTCGGGGCCCACGAGTGTGGGAAAGACCCCGTTGAATGGTGGCGGAGGAGCGCCGAACTGAATGCGATAGCCTTTCTCTACAGTATGCAGGACCCAACGAGACACATTTGGCAGTAGCTTCCACGCTGCTAAATAGTCTACTAAGGGAACCAGTCTCTCGAGACTGGCCTCCGGTGTACTTGTAGCTGCTAATTCGGTGCCCTGAAACGGAAGACCGGCAGGAGACGACCGAACTAGCTGCTCTAGAGACCCCCGAAGGGGTAGCGAGCCCCTCAGCTCCGCTACGTTTCTGGGCGGAAGAGACTGAGGGAAGCGCTCACTGGAGACCGCTGCGCCCTGAAACACCAATGGCGGCAGGGTTGGCAGAATGATCTCCCTAGGGCACTGAGGAGAGACGGACACTGTATGATGCGGTGCACCCCGCTCTTCCCCAGTAGGGGTCGCACTCACAGGTCCTGAGCTCCTGACATCAGGAACTTTTTGGTCGAGGACTTCCTTTGAAGCACAACCCTCAGATCGGGCTTCGACTGCGAAGCCCCTGACCTAGAGCGCCGCTGACCTCGGTCCCGTTGCTGGGGAGCACGAGAAGCAACGCTCTGTTTCTGTGCCTCATGGAATGAGGAGGAGGTACACAGCGAGGGCTGCTCCCGCCCAGCAGCCCCCGGAGCTAGAGAACGGCAAGGGAGGAACCGCTGGAACGCCCCCGCCTGTTTATGGGCCTCCTGGTACCTGTTGACGACGGAATTGACGGCGTCGCCGAACCGGCCAGAAGGCGCAAGCGGGCCTTCCATGAGGAAGACCCTGTACTTTTCTTTAATATCTGACAGGGTCAACCAGAGATGCCTCTCCACTGCCACTAGAGCTGCCATAGAGCAATATCGTTCGTTTTTATTTCCTCGCCTTCATCTAACTCTTTTAGCATGTCGGCTTGGCACACCTGTAACACCACCATGGTGTGCAGACCTGTTGGTCTTGCCGCTGTATACCCCTTGCCCACCAAGCTAGATGTTGTGCGTAACGGCTTGGAAGGCAATACCGGAGCCTTTAAAGACGATGCCGCACCTGGGGACTGATAGCTCGCAAGCGTCTGTTCCACCCGGGGCATCGCCTTATAACCGTGGTCACTAACTCCCGCCACGTTTGCATAATAAGAAGAGGCGGGAGTAAATAAGCGTGACGAGAACGGTCTTGCCCACGATTTCGACACCTCGGTGTGGAGATCGGGGAAGAATGGCAGGCTCCGGCGTGGAGGTGGCAGCTTACTCTGCAGAAAGCGTTCATCTAGCTTGCTTTTCTGCAG